CTTTTCATCCAAAACAGCGGGCAACTACACACTGGCTCTGACGGCGACCAATGAAGACGGTAGCGATAAGGTGGAATTTAAAGTAAAAGTATGCTCGCCCGAAGAGATGCCGTTCACGGCGCTGTTCGAGCAAACGACCTACAACATGTCGCTGGGGCGCACCATTTTCATCCGTCCTTACCGGATCGAAAATGCGTTCGACGCAACCTATACGTGGAGCGTGGACGGGAACGAGGTGGCTGATCTGCCCGCATTCTCCAATCCCCGGGTAGCGTCTCCCGAATGTGCGGCCTGCACTTTCGCTTATACGCCCGATTCGGAAGGGACGCATACGGTCGTCCTGACGATGAAGAACCGTTATGGGACCGTTCCCATGACCTTTACTGTCAATGTTGCTCCGCCGGAGGGGGAATCGCCGCGCGGTTATACGGGAAGCGTCGATTGTAATAAGGTTTATGAATTTACGGCAGCTCCGGGGCAGTTCGTGAACGAACATTATGACGCTTACACACCGGAAGAGGCATGTAATCATGCAATGAAATGCCTCGATGCGAAAGGCTACGTTTCATTGGGAAGCTGGGCGGATATGTCATTGTCGGATTCGACCACAGCATCAAAAATGACGGAGACTACAACCTACAGATTCTGGGCAATGCGTTTCAGGGTTCGTCGGAACCGGGCATCGTCTGGGTCATGCAGGACGAAAACCGGAACGGACTTCCAGACGATACCTGGTACGAGCTCAAAGGGAGCGATTACAGTAGCAGTACGCAGGATTATGCCGTAACTTACTACAAACCGGCCGGGACGAACCGCCCCGTGGCATGGACGGATAACGTAGGAGGCAACGGCCAAGTCGACTATCTGGGTTTCCATACGCAGGATTACTATTATCCCAACTGGATTAAAACGGAATCTTATACGTTGGTAGGCAGCCGGCTTCAGTCCCGCACCTCCGGCGGCGGGAATGCTTGGGTAAACGGGGAATATGGATGGGGTTATGCCGACAATTTCAGTCCTGTCGACCGCCTGACGGACGATGAAAACCCCAATGCCGACGTTATGGGTAACCATATGCGCATCAGCGATGCCGTTCGTCATGACGGGAAACCTGCCAATTTGAAATACATCGACTTCGTGAAGATTCACACCGGGGTCAACGTAAAGGCCGGATGGCTGGGCGAGAACTCGACGGAGGTGTTCGGCGTGCAGGATTACAATATGATAAAAAATCAATAATAAACACATAGCGGGTTAACATATCCTACAGGGAACCATTGCAAATATCTTCTATAGAAAATGTTGTCCCGCTATGTTTTAATTCCGGAAATCCCGAAACAAAATGACGATAAGATGCGGGAACGTCTTATCGTTTTTCCCGGAATGGCCAGAGAGGCAAGATTTATACTTGCCTCTCTATTTTTTAACTTTTCGGGGTTCTTAATCGGAATAAATATGATTATTCGAATATTGGCGGGAATGGAGAAGTAATGTACCGTAGGATCGAAAACAAAAAACAAATAAAAACCTCTCGACATTTACGTTTGATGAGATATTTTATTACCTTAGCCTCAGTTATTTGAAGTCGTGAACCCAAACGCAAAAGACGGAAAATAGAACCGTTGCCTTTTCGTTACCTCGTCCTCCAATAAAAAATGTAACAGCCCGATTTATCGAACTGTTACATTAATTTAAAGGAAATCCCTCCGAGGGTCTCGCTCTTTAAAAGTTTACCGAACCTCGTCCGATCGGAGAAGTGGATATTCTTCAATGGTTGTTGAAACCGCCTTATGAATTATTGCAGTTACTGAACTTGTACGTGAAACGGATGACAAAGAGACACGCAATGCTATCAAGGCGCGTTTACCGGCCGTGACACCGAGCGGATTGTTCGAAGTTCGAAGGATCGATGCGTTGATCGCCCATTCCGGTCTGATATGTTTGGATATAGATGCCGGAGATAATCCGGAAGTATCGGATTGGGATGCATTGAAACTCTGTTTGCCGAATCCCGAACATATTCTGTATGCCGGATTGTCTGCAAGTGGACGAGGTCTGTTTTGTCTCGTGCCGATTGCAGACGGGAAACGACATCTTCAGCACTTTCTTGCTTTGGAACGCGATTTTCGGGAAGTAGGTATCGTACTCGATGCGGCCTGTAAAGACGTAACACGTTTGCGCGGATTCTCTCACGATGCCTCTGCATATGTGAATTTCGGAGCGAAATCGTATGAAAAAGTATTTGAAAACTCTGAAAAAACGGCTCGTATTCAATCTGTTGCCCTACTGTTCACAGTCCGAATGTAAAAACGAAAGAGGTGCAGCAAGTAGAGGTGCCGACTCCTGCACAACTTCTGTTACGACCCACGGATTTGTCCCGGATCAAGGCAGTTTTGGAGCCTCCGAAGACGGCGAAACAACGGTTTCGTGATTTGTTAGAAAAGATCGAGACGAAACATATCGATATTACCGCCTCGTATTGCGACTGGTTCACTGTCGGATGTGTCGTCGCTACATTGTTCGGAGCGGACGGTATATCGTTGTTCCATCGTATTTCGGTTTTTTATCCGAGATACGATCACGAAGAGTGTGAAAAACAGTTCTTCAAATTCTGCAAGGCGGTTATCGTTCCTCGTTCGATAAAATCGTATCGATAGCGGAACGTTATGGTCTCCGATAAAAGTAAGGAAGGGCATACGGAAGTCGTATGCTCTCCCTTTTTCTCGAATTTTTATACCAAATGCGTCATCGCTTCGTCTATTCGGTCGTTTCCGAACGAATCCAGATAGATCTGCGTCGTCGTCAGGTCGGCATGTCCTAACGATTCCGAAATCAGAGATACATCGACGCCCGCATGTTTCAATACCGAAGCGTACGAGTGTCTGGCTACGTATGTGGTCAAGGGAAAGACCAAACCCAATTCGTCCCCTATTTTCCGAAGTTCTCCGTTTACCGATTTCAATACTTTTTTGATGCGGTCTTTTCGTTGTCGCTCCGTTTGTGAACGGTCGGATTTAAAATGGGAAATATGTAATTGTCGGTTATTCGCGTGTTTGCGTATTTTTCGATGATCGTTTCCGCTTCGCTATTGATCCTGCAATTCATCTCTTTACGGGTCTTATGCCGAGCGTACACGAGGCGTCCGTTTCGGATGTTCGAATGTCTCAGACCGGCGATATCGCAAAAATTGATACCGGCCATAAAATAGGAAAACAGAAATATGTCTCGTGCGAACTCTGCGCGATCGGATAGGTCAAGCGTCATCAGACGATGTATGTCCGTTTTCGAGATGGCTCGTTTTCGGGTTGAAGTCCATAGGCGGCCGAGTTTGAAACGAATGAACGGATTATCTTCGGAGGAAAAGATCTTTTCTTCCGAAGCTCGGTTGTAAACGGCTCTCAGTACGCTGAATTTAGTGGCGATGCTGTTGTCCCGATTCCCCTTTTGTCTCAAGAACAGTTCGAAATCCCGCAGAAACGGAAGTGTGATATCTTCGAAACGGAGTTCCTGCGGATGAAAACGACGGAGCAGGGAGCGTGTGATGCGGTATTTCGAAGCGGTTCCGTATTGATCGACGGATTCCATTCGTTCGATCGTTCTTCCGAAATAGTCATCCACGGTACAATGGATGCGTTTTTGTACGGGTTCGAATAGCGTTTCGAAATTCACGTCTATTTCCAACGCTTCGAGGCGTCTGATTTTCTTTCGGTAGTCGTTCAGAATGCGGTCTAATTCGTATTGCGTTTCGCTGCAATCCGCACGATCGCACTTCAGGCGTTGCGCCTGCTCGTCCCAATCGGTCGGATCGACGACGAGGCCCGTAGAGACCGTTTTGATTCTGCGTCGATGTGTGAAACGGATGACCAACGGGACACGTCCCTGGCCGTTCATGGCGTCTTTGCGACATACTACCTTGATGTTCATGGTTGTTTGCGTGTTGTGCAAACGACCGTTTCAGCGTTTTTGTGTAAAACATTCTGTAAAACATTTCCGGTAAAAACGGCCTTTTTCGGTGTTTCCCGTTCGTCTTGCCGATTGTCCGATGGGAACGATAGTAGGTTGCGACATCTGTGCAACATACTGACAAACAACAAAAAAAGGCAATCTTTTCAGACTGCCTTCCTGAGCGGAAAACGAGACTCGAACTCGCGACCCCAACCTTGGCAAGGTTGTGCTCTACCAACTGAGCTATTTCCGCAAAATAATAAAACGAACTCTTCTCCTTTCTATCTCTGCAAATCTCTTTCTTCGTGCTCCCTCTTCCCCTTTCTCTGCTGGTGAAGCGCTTCGTTTTGGTGATGCAAAAGTACGATTAAAATTTAATTTTACAAATTATTACGAAAAAAAATTGCGGTTTTTACCGATTTTATGCCGAAAATTTTTGAGGGATGAAATGAAAGGCAGGGTTTTGTGCCCTGCCTTCGCGCATTCGGTCGTCGTGCGGAAATCCGCCGGCGTTCGTCTTCGGTTCGAAAATTATTTTTTCTCTCCGCAGCCGCAGTTTTTCAACGGAATCTTATCGATACGAGCCTGATGGCGGCCTCCTTCGAATTCGGTGTTCAGGAAAATATCGACGATTTCGCGGGCCGTGTCGGTGCTGATGAACCGCGCCGGCATGGTGCAGACGTTGGCGTTGTTGTGGCGGCGTGCCAACGATGCGATTTCGGGTTCCCAGCAAAGGGCGGCTCGGATTCCCTGATGTTTGTTCAGCGTCATCGTGATGCCGTTGGCGCTACCGCACATCGCGATACCGCGCGGCAGTTCCCCTTTTTCGATGGCCTCGGCCAGCGGGTGGGCATAGTCCGGATAATCGCAGCTCTCTTCCGAGTTGGTGCCGAAATCGTACACGTCGTAGCCTTTCGAGTCGAGGTAACCGATTACGAATTCTTTGAGTTGGTAGCCGGCATGGTCGCTGGCTATTCCGATTTTTTTATTGTCCATAGTTTTAGTTTTAGCGTTTCGGTTTGTAAAGATAATGAAAAGCCCCGCATTTTCTATGCCTACTTGTGTCGTTCGGCCAGTTCTTCTTCCAGGTCGGCGATCGACAGGCCTTGGTTTTCGAGCAGTACGAGCAGGTGGTAGATCAGGTCGGATGCTTCGTAAACCACGTCCGTATTGTTGTTCGCTACTGCCTCGATGACGGTTTCGACCGCTTCTTCGCCTACTTTCTGTGCGATCTTCTTAACGCCTTTGGTGAACAGTTTCGTGGTGTACGAACCTTCCGGCATTTCGCGGTGGCGCTGCTGGATTACGCTTTGCAGCTCGCCGATGAATCCTTCGTTTTCGCGTCCGCCGAAACAGGTTTTCGTTCCCTTGTGACAAACCGGGCCGACCGGTACGACGCGGATCAACAGCGTGTCGTCGTCGCAGTCTTTGACGATGCTTTTGACGTTCAGGAAGTTACCGCTGGTTTCGCCTTTCGTCCACAGACGGTTTTTCGCGCGGCTGAAAAAGGTCACGCGACCTTCGCCACGGTTTTGTCGTAGGCTTCCTCATTCATGTAGCCCAGCATCAGGACTTGGCGCGTATTGTCGTCCTGGATGATTGCGGGAACCAGTCCCTCACAACGCTTGGTTGTGTTCAATTCACTGAATTTTATCATAATCTGACAGGTATATGCAGTTTGTTCAACTCCTGTTTCAGGCGGGGGATCGGGATCTCCCCATAATGGAAAATACTGGCGGCAAGGGCGGCGTCGGCACGCCCTTCGGTCAATACGTCGGCGATGTGCTGCGCGGTTCCGGCTCCGCCCGAAGCGATCACCGGGATCGACAGCATTTGTGATAGCCGAGCGTAGGTTTCGCACGGGTAGCCGTTTTTCGTGCCGTCGTGGTCCATTGACGTGAATAAAATCTCGCCGGCCCCGCGCCGCTGCGCTTCGGCGGCCCACGAAAACAGTTCCTTGTCCGACAGCCGGTGTCCGCCGTGCGTGGTCACGCGCCACCGGCCGTCGATCTGTTTGGCGTCGATCGCCACGACGACGAACTGGTTGCCGTATTTCGACGCGATATCGCTGATCAGATCGGGGTTATTGACGGCCGCGCTGTTGACGGTCACTTTGTCGGCCCCGGCGGTCAGCAGCCGTCCGGCGTCTTCGACCGACGCGATGCCGCCGCCGACCGTGAACGGGATGTTGATGTTCGCGGCGATGCGCGTCACCAGTTCGGCAAAAGTCCTGCGCCCTTCCATCGACGCGCTGATGTCGAGGTAAACCAGTTCGTCGGCTCCCTCTTCGGCATACCTGCGTCCCAGTTCGACCGGGTCGCCGACGCCGCGCAGTTCGAGGAAATTGATTCCCTTGACCGTCTGCCCGTCCTTGATATCCAGGCAGGGGATGATTCTCTTCGCTAACACCGTTGTTGTTTTTTGTCGGTTCGTACTGTAAGCATGTATTTTTCGAGCTGTTCGAAACGGATCCGTCCTTCGTAGATCGCCTTGCCGACGACGACGCTGCGCAGTCCGTTCCGATCGAGTTCTTCGATGTCTTCCCATGAGCTGATGCCGCCGCTGACCGTAATGTCGATCTCCGGAACGTTTTTTGGAGTTGCAGATACAGCGGGACGGACGGGCCTGAAAGCATACCGTCCTTGGCGATGTCGGTGCAGATCACCTGTGACAGTCCTGCGTCGCGGAACGATCCGATCAGTTCTTCGACTCCCACCGTAGCGGCTTCGAGCCAGCCGTTGATCGCGATCCGTCCGTCGCGGGTATCTGCGCCGAGGATCATTTTCGCGGAGCCGAATTCGGCCAGCCACTCGCGGAACGCATCGGGCTGCGTGACGGCGATGCTGCCGCAGATCGCGCGGGCGGCCCCACTGCCGAATACGTCGCGCAGGGCTTCGGCGTTTTTGATGCCGCCGCCGTATTGCACTTGCAGCGAGGTCGAAACGGTGATCCGTTCGAGCACGTTCAGGTTGACCGGGTGCGCGGCCTTGGCCCCGTCCAGATCGACCAGGTGCAGCCGCCGGATGCCGCAGTCCTCGTAGCGTCGAGCCGCGTCGAGCGGGTCTTTGTAATAGGTGGTACGGCGGTCGTAGTCGCCCTGCGTCAGCCGGACGCACTGGCCGCCGATCAGGTCTATTGCCGGGATAATTTCAATCATAGCGTTAAAAAGTTTTGTAGGATGCGTTCGCCGACCGAGGCGCTTTTTTCGGATGAAACTGCGTCCCGAAGAAGTTGCCGCGGTTGATCGCGCCGCTGAACGTTTCGCCGTAAACGGTCGTGGCGATCGTGTCACCGTTGACGGTCGGGGCGTACGAGTGCACGTAGTAGACGTACGAACCTTCGGCGATGCCGTCCAGCAGCGGCGAACGCAGGTTCCCGATGCTGTTCCATCCCATGTGCGGTACTTTGAGCCCTTCGGCCGTGAATTTACGCACTTCGTTGTCGAAAATTCCGATGCACTCGGCATCGCCCTCCTCGCTGCGGCGGCACAGCAACTGTACGCCGATGCAGATACCCAGTACGGGCTGCGTGAGCGAACGGATCGTCTCGACCAGTCCGCGTTCGCGCAGTTTTTCCATCGCGGTCGAAGCTTCGCCGACGCCGGGCAGCAATACCCGTTCGGCCGAACGGATCTCGTCCGGCGACGCGGTGATCCGGTATTCGGCTCCCAGTCGTCCGAGCGCGTTGGCGACGGAACGCAGGTTGCCGGTGTCATAGTCGATTACTGCTATCATAATACTCCTTTACTGCTTGGCAATTCAAATTTGAAGCCGTTGCGGGCGATGGCCATCCGCAGCGCGCGAGAGAAGGCCTTGAACACGCCCTCGATTTTGTGGTGCTCGTTTTCGCCTTCGGCCGCGATGTGCAGGTTGCAGCGCGCGGCGTCGGCGAAGCTCTTGAAGAAATGGCGGAACATTTCGGTCGGCACGTCGCCGATGCGCTCGCGGCGGAACGGGACGTTCCAGTCGAAGTCGATCCGGCCGCCGAAGTCGATCAGCACGCTGGCCCGGCATTCGTCCATCGGCAGGCAGAAACCGTAGCGTTCGATGCCGAGTTTCGATCCGAGCGCCTGGTAAACCGCTTCGCCGAGCACGATGGCCGTATCTTCGATCGTATGGTGTTCGTCCACTTCAAGGTCGCCTTTGACCTCGACGATCAGCGATACTCCGGCATGGTGCACGATCTGTTCGAGCATGTGATCGAAAAATTTCAGTCCGGTGTCGATGTGCGACGACCCGCTGCCGTCCAGGTCGATCGCCACGCGGATATCCGTCTCGCGCGTCTTACGGGCGATTTCGGCGGTGCGTTCGCCGGCGCGCAGGAATTGCCAGACGCGGTTCCAGTCGTCGGTGATCAGCACGCAGTGCTCCGCAGGCCCCTTTCGGCCAATATCGCGCGTCCCGCTTCGACGGGCTGCAACAAGATTCCCTTTGCGCCGAGATTTCGGGCCAATTCGATGTCGGTCGTGCGGTCGCCGATGACCAGCGAATTTTTCAGGTCGTAGTCTCCGCCGAGATATTTGCCGAACATCCCGGTCAGCGGTTTGCGCGTCGGGGCGTTGTCGGCGGGCATCGAACGGTCGATCAGGATGTCGTCGAAGCGAACGCCCTCGCCTTCGAACGTTTTGAGCATCAGGTTGTGCGCCGGCCAGAACGTCGCTTCGGGGAAACTCGCCGTTCCCAATCCGTCTTGGTTCGTGGCCATCGCCAGCTCGTAACCGAGCGTAGCGATGCGGCTCATGGCCGTGATCGCCCCGGGCATAAATTCCAGTTTTTCGAACGAATCGACCTGGTAATCGACCGGCGGTTCCTTGATCAGGGTTCCGTCGCGGTCTATGAAAAGTACGCGTTTCATCGTTACAGTTTTTTCAGGGTTTCGAGCAGCCGGTCGTTCTCTTCCGGCGTGCCGATCGTGATCCGCAGGCAGCCTTCGCATCCTTTGATCCGCGAGCGGTCGCGAACGATGATGCCCGCCCCGATCAGGCGGTCGTATATTGTGCGCGGTTCGTCCACTTCGACCAGTACGAAGTTGGCGTCCGTCGGGTGGATTTTCCGGATGACGGGGTTTTTCGCGAGTCCTTCCAGCACGCGTCCGCGTTCCGAAACGATTTCGGCGATCTGCGCGTCGGGGGATTTCCGCAACTGTTCGAGGACGATTTTTTGCGTCACGACGTTGATGTTGTACGGATATTTCACGCGGCTCAGCGTATCGACGATCAGCGGTTGTGCGAAAGCCAACCCGAGCCGGAGGCCCGCCATGCCCCATGCTTTCGACAGCGTTTGCAGGATGACGAGGTTCGGGTATTCGTCCAGTTCGGACAGGAAGCCCGGCTGGCCGGCGAAGTCGATATACGCTTCGTCGAGGATCACGATGCCGTTGAAACGGCGGATGACCTTTTCGATCTCTTTTTTCGGAAAACAGTTGCCCGACGGGTTGTTCGGCGAGCAGAGGAACAGCAGTCGGGTGTTCTCGTCGGCCGCCGCCAACAACTTTTCCGCATCCAGCGTGAAACCGGGCTCCAACTGCACCTCGCGCATCTGCACGTCGTTGATCGCCGCCGCCACCTTGTACATGCCGTAAGTCGGGGCGATCGACACCGCATTGTGCCGCCGGGGTTCGCAGAACAACCGGAACACCAGGTCGATCGGTTCGTCCGAACCGTTGCCGATGAAGATCTTTTCGACCGGTACGCCCTTGATTTCCGCCAGCCTCCGTTTCAGGTTTTTCTGATGCGGGTCGGGGTAGCGGTTGTAGTTGTTGTCGTACGGGTTTTCGTTGGCGTCGAGGTAGATGCCCAATTCGCCCTGGTATTCGTCCCGCGCGGTCGAGTAGGGGGCCAGCGTGCGTATGTTTTCTCTGAGTAGTTCGCGGATATCCATCGTTCGTGTCTTTGTCTTGTTTTCGCTACTGTGTGTGCGGCAGGCGTTTCCGCAACCGGTCGCGGCCTGCCGGGCGTTTTTCGCGGCGTCGTTTACCCGAGGCTTTTCAGCCGGATCGTCACCGCATTTTTGTGCGCGTCGAGCCCTTCGGCCCCCGCCATCGTTTCGATGACGTTCCCTATGCCGCGGAGTCCGTCGGTCGTGATCTCCTGGTAGTGATCTTGCGTAGGAAGCTGTCGAGGTTCACGCCGCTGTAAGCGTGCGCCCAGCCGTAGGTCGGCAGCGTATGGTTTGTGCCCGATGCGTAGTCGCCCGCGCTTTCGGGAGTATAGTTTCCGATGAAGACGCTTCCGCTGCGGTGATTCTTTCGGCGATTTTCCACGGATTTTCCATCGAGATGATCAGGTGTTCCGGGCCGTAGGCGTTGCTGAATGCGATCAGGTCGTCCTCGCTGTCCATCACGACGATGCGGCTGTTGTCCAGCGCCCGGGTCGCGATGTCGCGGCGCGGCAGTTCGGCCAGTTGTCGTTCCACTTCGCGGACCACCTGTTCGGCAAAACCGCGCGACGGCGTCAGCAGAATCGCCTGCGAGTCGCTTCCGTGCTCGGCCTGCGACAGCAGATCGGAAGCCACGAAAGCGGGCACGGCGCCCGAATCGGCCATTACCAGCACTTCGGACGGGCCGGCCGGCATGTCGATCGCCACGGTCGAGGTGCTGACCTGCTGTTTGGCGACGGTGACGTACTGGTTGCCCGGGCCGAAGATCTTATCCGTTTTCGGGATGCTTTCGGTGCCGTAAGCCATCGCCGCGATCGCCTGCGCCCCCCCCCGCTTTGAAAATACGGTCTACGCCGGCCAGCGAGGCGGCATAGAGGATCGCCGGGGCGATGTCGCCGTTTTTATCGGGCGGGGTGCAGAGAACGATTTCTTTGCAGCCGGCTACGCGCGCCGGGATCGCCAGCATCAACACGGTCGAGAATAACGGGGCGGAACCTCCGGGGATATAGAGCCCGACGCGCTGGATCGGCACGGCGCGCTGTATGCACTTGACGCCCGGCATCGTTTCCAGTTCGACCGGTTGCGGACGCTGCGCCGCGTGGAACGCTTCGATGTTGCGGGCGGCAGTCGCGATGGCGGCTTTCAGTTCCGGAGAAACGTTCTCCGTTGCCTGTCCGATCTCGTCCGGCGTGACGATGACCGATTTCAGTTCGATCCCGTCGATCTGCCGCGTCAGTTCGAACAGCGCTTTGTCGCCTCCGCTTTCACCGAGGCGAGGATATCGGCTACCCGCTGTCCGATCACCGAACGGTCGATCTGCGGGCGGCTGAGCAGCGGCCCCCATTCGCGCGGGTCGGGATTTACCAGGATTTCCATTACAAGATCATTTTTCGAGTGAGAGAACGAGGATGTCTTCTGCGCCGATCGTCTTGAGCTGTTCGATTTTGCTCCACAACTCGCGTTCGTTGATCACGACATGGATCGAACTCCAGCCTTCCTGAGCCAGCGGAAGGATCGTCGGACTCTTCATGCCCGGCAGGATGCGGATCGCCTCGTCGATTTTTTCGTGCGGCAGGTTCAGCAGCACGTACTTCATGCCGCGGCTGCGCTCGACCGATTCGATGCGGAACAGCAATTGCGACAGGATCTGACGTTTCTCTTCCGACAACGATTGGTTGGAGATCATCACCGCTTCCGAGAAGAGCACTTTTTCGACCTCCTTCAGCCCGTTGGTCACCAGCGTGCCGCCGGAGCTGACGATATCGAAGATGGCGTCGGCCATCCCGACCGACGGAGCAATCTCGACCGAGCCGGCGATCTCGTGGATCTCCGCGTTGATCCCGTTTTCCTTGAAAAAACGCGACAGGATGACGGGGTAGGACGTCGCCACCCGTTTGCCGTTGAAATAGCCGATCCCGTCGTACGCGTCGGCTTTCGGGATGGCGAGCGAAATGCGGCATTTGCCGAATCCGAGCTTGTGGGCGATTTTCACGTCGAACCCTTTCTCTTCCACTTCGTTGAGACCGACGATCCCGACGTCGGCGACGCCCATCGAAACGGCCTGCGGAATGTCGTCGTCGCGCAGGTACAGCACTTCGAGCGGAAAATCGTCGCAGCGCGTCAGCAGCTTACGTTTGCTTTCTTCGATCGATACGCCCGCTTCGGCGAGCAGTTCCACGCTCTCTTCGTTGAGTCGGCCTTTGGCCTGAATGGCAATTCGTAACATATTTTCGTTTTTTAGTTGTTTCGTACCGGATTGAACGATATAAAAAGAGGCTTCCGTAATCGGGTAAGCCTCTTTCGTGTGATTGAATATCGGTTTCAGTTCATACAAACACGCTGTTGCCTACCGTGACGGACGTAGGTGATGATGATGCACGTGAATGTGGTTAAACTGTGACATATTCCGTTCTTTTATGCCGCAAAGTTAGCTTAAAATTTTAAGAAACAAAATTTTTCGAAGATTTCGCTGCCGGTAAAGCTCTATTTTCCCGCAGGGCTGTATTTCAGCAGCAGCGATCCCGGCGCTTCGCCGATTTCGAGCGTCAGTCCGTCGGCGAGTTCCTTTCCGGTTTTTGCGGCGATTTTGCCGTCGTTGCCGTTCTGCACGCTGTAAACCTGTTGCGGATCGAGTCCCCTCAGTTTCACGACAGTCGAATCTTGCGGGTTGTCTTTGCGCCGGAACGCAACGACGATGCCCTTGCCGTCCGACGGTTTGTTCAGTTGATAGGCCAGCCATACGTCGTCGCCGGTCAGGTCGCCGAGTCCGGTCAGCGGATAATAATCTTCGTAGAAGTAGGGACGCAGTTCCTTGTATTCGGCGATCACCCGCTGCATGTCGGGAATCGAGCCGCGGATGCTGTGATCTCCCAGTTGATGACCATCGCGCTGCTGAGGCTCGACCGGAAATTGTAGTCGTCGGTGCCGTAAAT